AAAAAAAAAAAAAAAAAAAAAAAAAAAAAAAAAATGTAACATCCATATAAAAAGTTTCTTAGTTCTGTTTCCAAATTATTTTACAAACATTTCAACATCTGTGTTACATTAGGTATATATTTTTGTTGAAAATTTTGTTTGAAAAATTGATAACATGCCAAGATTCCCCTCAAGGGACATTTTTTTCCTCTTGTGAGTGCAAATCACCTTAGATTTCTCCTGGGGTTTTAGTATTGATCTTTAATGTTCTGGTTCTCCCATTTGTTTCCTGAAATGTAGACCCAGAAAAATCATTATCATTTAGAAAGTATGGAAAACTTACTGGATTGTAGGTTCATTGTACACTGTAGCCACGCCTGATCAATTCATGAAAATACTCCCTTTCTATATTCCAAATTTTGGAACAGCATTGATGGCCAAGAAACACTTGTTCTCTAATTGACTAAAAGAAAAACATATCCTCACCTATAGAATTCAAGTGCTGATGGCATCCCATATCACATCTCTGTACAGATTCTTCAGGGAAAAATCCAGCAAAGCCCACTCCTCCTGGATGAAGTTCCAGCCACATCTTCAAAGACCACCAAGCCGTGACACATCCCAGATATGTGCAGAGGAGGACAGGTGAGACTGACCTCACTGGGCCTCTAGACTCAATTCATGAGACTTCACATTGAAGCAATGTCGTCGTCTGGGGTAAATACCTGTGAAAGTCGTTGTCTTATGGCCACGGAAAACTAGGACCTGGAGACACAAAGAGTGAGGTTCTAAGCAGAAGTTTAATAGGTAAAAGAAAGAGATGAGCTCTCTGCTGCAGAGAGAGGCATCCCGGAGAAGTGGGTTGCTGCTTCTCCAGTGAAATACAGAGAGTTTTATACATGAACTTGAGGAGGCAGTGTCCGATTTACATAGGGCACAAAAGATTGGTCAGACCAGGTATACCATTTGCATAACATGTGAGAATCTGGCCACCCCTACCATAATCTTTTATTATGCAGATGGGTTATCCACCTGGCTGGTGCCATGTTGCCTATTCCTTTAGTGTACACATGGTGACAAACGAAAGGGATGATGAAGCTTCCAGGTTGAACAGGTATGACCCCGAGGTAGCCCTTTTCTGTTGGCACAGCTTTTGGCATTCACCCGTGCAAGCTCCCAGCTCGCTTATCTATGTTTGCGGCCTGATTTTTCAGGCTGCTCTCTGTTAGAAAAGAAATGATTTGGGGGCTGCTTTTTGTTAAAAGGAAAGCCTTGCCAAGGACTCCTTTAGCCTCACTATCTGCCTAAATAATTTCTTTCTAGCTCTTGTATCAACATGATTTTGTAGTCTCCAAACATTTATTCTACAACTTGGTCGAACTTTCACTCTCTTGTCTATACTAACTTCCACACATAATTCTATGCTGCTAGGTCGCCCCAAATTTTTCTTTGTAGAGTCAAACTCTAGTACCTGTCATAAGAAAGTCCTGCTACCTGGTGTGCAGAAGAGAGTTAATATTAGTGGTCCTCAGACTGCTTATCCTTTGAAATGGCTGATCACAAAGTTTGACATTTACTAACCTATTAGGAATAATGAAATCAGTCAACTGTCAAAGTCTTCTAACCAACACAGTGATGGCTTGTCTAACGTACATAAAGATTTTCGAAGTGTAATATTCCAGACAGCACAGTGTTAGCAGAGATCAAAGGAAAGGAGAATGTCTTCGATGGGCCAGCAATTTTGCATTATGCAAAATTGATTAATTTCAGGGGAGGCATTGTACAGTGAGTGGCAGAATCAAGAGCACCTTATTACATAGGACAGGGACAAACATGTAATTAGGAAAATTCATCACCTCTACTTATGGGCAAATCAATTTATTATAGACTTAATATAAAACATAAAACCAGAACACTTTTTTTTGAGACAGTCCCAAAAAAAAAAAAAGACAGTCTCCTGCTGTTTTGCCAGGCTGGAGTGCAATGGCACCATCTAGGCTCACTGCAACCTCCATCTCCCGGGTTCCGAACGATTCTCCTGCCCCAGCCTCCCGAGAGCTGGGACTACAGGCACCCATGCCCAGCTAATTTTTGTATTTTTTAGTAGAGATGGGGTTTCGCCAAGTTGACCATGATGGTCTTGAAATCCTGACCTCGTGATCCACCCATCTCAGCCTCCCGAAGTGCTGGGATTTACTCAGCACTTCGGGAGGCTGAGTAAATGCCCAAAATTAGCCAGGTGTGGTGGCACATGCCTGTAATCCCAGCTACTCAGGAGGCTGAGAATTGCTTTAATCCAAGAGGCAGAAGTTGCAGTGAGCCAAGATCACGCCACTGCACTCCAGCCTCAGCCTGGGACATAGAATGAGACTCTGTCTCAAAATAAATAAAAGAATAATAAAAAATAAAAGAGTAAGCAATGAAAAGAACATACTGATAAATTTAAATATACTAAAATTAGGAAGGTAAACGACAAAGAACAAAGTAGGAGAAAAATACCTGCAGTACATGCAATATAAAAGGATTAATTTGTAGAGTAAAAACGAACACGATTAAAACATAGGAAAATAAACTAACTGAAAATGAAAGACCATGTATGAAAAAAGGTCCGTTTCCTTGGCAATGAGGAAATAGCCAAATAAAATGTCAACTACATGACATTTCTCATTGATTAAAAGTATGAAAATTAGTCAATTTGAGAATCCTAAGTGGTGATGACCATAGAAAATAAATAAATACGCATGAAGGAAGAAGGGGTGTTAATAGATACACTGCAGTGCTGTTTCATGTAATTTTAACTTTACCATAATCTGCAGCCCAGTAATTTTTCTCTAATGTCCAGGTAGTTTATTGTGCATTTGTGCTTAAAGACTATTGGAACAGGCCAAGTGAGGTGGCTCACATCTGTAATCCCAGCACTTTGGGAGGCCGAGGCAGGCGGATCACGAGTTTGAAACCAGCCTGACCAACATGGTGAAACCCCGTCTCTACTAAAAATACAAAAACTGGCTAGGTGTGGTGGCATGCGCCTGTAATCCCAGATACTCAGGAGACTGAGGCAGGAGAATCTCTTGAACCTGGGAGGTGGAGGTTGTAGTGAGCTGAGATCACACCACTGTACTCCAGCCTGGGTGACAGAGCAAAACTCCATCTTGAAAAAAAAAAAAAAAAAAAAAAAAAAATTGGAGCAGTATTTTTCCTAAGAGCAAAAAATAACCTGAAGACGCCCAAGCACCGTAAGTATTGGAATGGATGAGTGAAGTGGATGGCACATAGCCTTAGACACTAGCAGGTATGTGCTGAGGCAAGGAAACCAGCAATAAGCCTTTTCATTTTAATGAAATAAGGCCCATCTCTCTAGCTATCGATTTATTATTTTATTTATTAATCATTTATTTGGAGATGAGGTCTGGCTGTGTTTCTCAGGCTGGTCTGAAACTCCTGGCCTCAAGTGATCCTCCTGTTCCTTTCCAAAGCCCCCTGCCATTATTTTGGAAGATGCCCAGAGAATTACATTCTTAACAAGTCCTGCCTTCAAAATAAACTGTTTTTCAAAACCCTAATTGAGATTTTACCAGAGCCACACCTCTTGGGGTAGAGAAAATAACTAATTCCATCCCCTTGTTTTTGCCTCAACTAAGCAGAGGTGAGGGAGAAATACAAAAGTCACAACACAGGGACACAGGCTTCCTACAAACGGAGCCAAATCATAGGTCCATGAAATGTGTCCCATAGTCCCACACCTGACCACCACATCAACAGCAGCAGAATATATAACATAATAACGGCAAAACACAATGCCTCAGACCTTTTACTTAAAGATGTCTAAGGGTACGGAAGTAAGTTGGGATAACACTGATGAAGTGGACAGATGTCTGCAAACATAAGACGTACGGACCGAGTCATGACAAAACAAAATCCGAACAGATCTTCAGTTCTAGGAAACTGATGTAAGAAACAAAACAAAAACAATAAAAACCAAAGGCCAGAGTTTTACTGCTAAAATCAACTAAACACTTAAAATATTAATATCAATCTTCCCAAAACTTTGAAAAAAACAGAACACTTCCAAACTCATTTTAAGAGACCCAGATTACAGACACTGAAGAAGACACAACAAGAATGAAAGCTGCAGACAAGTGTCCTTTGTGAATATGCACACAAAAATCCTCTAATACCAGCAAACCATATTCAGCAGCATATTAAAAGATTACACACCATGACCAAGTGAGATTTATCCCTAAAATGCAAAGATGGTTCAACATGTAAAAATGCATAATAATACACTGCAACAACCTCAATGTAGATGTAGAAAAAGCATTTGACAAAATACAAAACCAATTCATGATAAAAACACAGAACGTGGGCTAGAAAGTAACTACTCAATAAAACCATTTAAAAAATCCACAGAAACATTAAAATCAGTGGAGAAATACAAAAAACTTTTGCACTAAGATCAGGAACAAACCAGGATACCTGCTTTCATCATTGGTCTCAATGCGCTTTTGGAAGTCCTAGACAGAATGATAAAGCAAGAAAAAAAAAAATGCATCCAAACTGGAAAGGAAGAAGTAAAATTATCTCTGTTCACAGATGAAACAATAAGTAGAAAACCCTAAAGACTGTGCACATGCACACACACACAACACCCCAAAATATTGGAACTAGTAAATTCCACAAAGTTGCAGGATACCAAATCAATATGAAACAATTTCAGCTGGGTGCGGCGGCATTAACCTGTAGTCCAAGCTGCTTTGCAGGCTGAGTCAGGGGGATTGCTTGAGCCCAGGAGTTCAAGGCTGTAGCATACTATGATTGCTCCTGTGAACAGCCACTGTACTCCAGACTGAGCAAGAGTGAGACCCCATCCTTAAAGAAAAATCATTCTCATTTATACACACTAACAATATATAATCTGAGAAGGAAATTAAGAAATACCATGAACAATAATAAAGGCGGCAGAAGACCTGTACACTGAAAACTATAAAATGTTGCTGAAAGAAATAAAGAAGATATAAATGAACAGAAAGACATATTTAGGATTTAAATTTAATATTAAGATATCAATACTACTTAAGATGGTCTATAAATTCAATGCAACTCCTATCAAAATACCAACAACCTTTTTTCTGGAGACAGAGTGTTGCTCTATCTCCTAGGCTGGAGTGCAGTAAAATGATCTCAGCTTACTGCAACCTCTGCCTCCCGGGTTCAAGTGATTCTTCTGCCTCAGCCTCCTGAGTAGCTGGGACTACAGGCACACGCCAGCATGCCCAGCTAATTTTTGTATTTTTAGTAGAGATGAGGTTTCACCACATTTGCCAGAGTGGTCTCAAACGCCTGATCTCAGGTGATCCACCTGCCTTGGCCTGCCAAAGTGCTGGGATTACAGGTGTGAGCCACCACATCTGGCACCAATGAATTTAAAAAAAAAAAAAAAAAGAAATGCCCATCCTAAAATTCATAGGGAATCTCTAGGAACCCCAAATAGCCAAAACAATTGAGAAAGAAGAACAAGCCAGGTGTGGTGGCACACGCCTGTAATCCCAGCACTTTAGCAGGCTGAGGCAGGCAGATCACTTGAGATCAGGAGTTTGAGACCAGCCTGGCCAACATGGTGAAACTCTGTCTCTACTAAAAGTATTTTTTAAAATTATGGTGGCTCATGCCTGTAAATCCCAGCACTTTGGGAGGCCGAGGTGGGCAGATCACTGGAGTTTGAGACTAGCCTGACCAATGTGTGTGGGTAGCACCCCCCATGGAAGGAAAACTGTCCAGACCCCAGGCACAATTAGTGCCTGAAGAATACCTTAGTTTATAGTGTTATTACTTAGTTATTTCCTTTATATAATCCTTTATATATACTCATATATTATAGAATTCATGCCTGAAGTATAACTTACTGCTTACATATATCTAGCTTAATCATACTTAATATTTATATCTAACATACTTAGTCCCATATAATCTATATAATCAATAGGTATTGTAGTTGGAGCTGTACTGACACACTTAGTGCTGATTTATAGAATCCTTCTATATAACCATATAGTAGTTTGTAGTAGGAGGAATGCTTAGAGCAGTCACAGAACAGAAGCAGCACACGGGAAAACAACCAGACCAGGACAAGAACCAAAGACCCAGGCCATGGTGTCCCTGCCTGAAAGGGCATATGCTATATGGCAGGGTTGGATCAAGAGCCTCTCCTCCTGATAAAGGAGTTGTAGTACCTTGCATCCAGTTCCTGTGGAAAGTAGGCTTCAGGCCTGAGATCCTGGAAATAGCCGAGGGAGAAGAACCCCTGTGGTGTGACCAGTCACAGCGGCTGT